TGATGCTCAACTCCACGAGAGCGCCTCACTGTGCCTTCTTGGTCTCACGCTTTCCACTGAGGAGGAACAACTACATTGAGTCAATAGCTACATCTACTGCAAGGAAAGTTGGTTCTCTGTGTCGCGCCAGAAGGTTTTTCTCGCCTGAGTCCATCCTTAAAATCTACAAATCTACCATTCGATCTCGCATTGAATACTGCTGCCATATATGGCCTGGTGCCCCAGTTTTTCATCTCGAGGTTCTCGACAAAATCCAGAGACGGATATGCAATGTGATAGGTCCTGATCTGGCATCGCGTCTGCAGTCACTTTCTCACAGACGTGATGTGGCTTCCCTCTGTCTTTTCTACAAATATTTTCATGACAACTTCTCTGACGAACTATTTTCACTGGTGCCCCAACAGCATGATTTTAAGCGTGCTACTAGGTTGTAATCTCGGTTTCATGCTTTTACTGTCGAAACAGTTAAATGTAACAGGTTCTTCTCTCGCACTTCCCGACATTGGAACTCCCTTCCTCTTACTTGCTTTTCTGATAACTATAAACTTCCTAAATTTTAATGTGATGTCAATCGACATCTTCTGATGTTTTGATCTTGATCCCCCGTCATTCCCTTTATCCTTTCCTCGAACACCACCCTTTACTCTACCTTTCATTCTCTGTAACCCCATGCGTGCTAGTGGCAACCCCGGTTGCTTGGGGGGAAATGCTTAAAAAATTGAAGCTTTTAAATGCAATTAACATTTTTCTCTTTTTTAAAAAAAAAAAAAAAAGAATAAAAAGCACAGGTAGTGATCATAATTTAAAAAAAGGAATGAAAGAAATAAGATTAAAAAAATTTATTTTTGTTTAAAATACAATTACGGATTAACAGTGTTGTAAGATCGATCTACATATCGCCAGTATGTTTTTGTTTCATCGGCGTTTTTCTTATGATAGTGGTAGCTGTAATTTTCCTCGTCCATAAATATTTTTCCACCATATTTTTTCGGAAATTAGCCATGGTTTCTAATCTATAAAATCCAGAATCTATCAGATGTTTGTGGTACGCACTGCTGGAGTGAACTGAAACTGCTAGCTTAATTTTCTCTTTCTTGAAAAAGAAATTTTTCTCTCTACTTACTCCCTTTCTGTTTGTTTAGAGTCATTGAAGGTATCGGTGTCCAAATTTCTATATTAAATAACACTTTTTAAAAAAATGGTAACTTCAAAAACTTATCAGAGGTACGCCATTATCCAGGGACGCATTTTTCTAGGGAGACTAATGTCCAGAGAGGCAATTGACTGGTAAGCAATTGCCCGGAAACGCAAGTGTCCAGGAACGCAAATATCTGGTATGTAATTGTCCGGGACACAAAGTTCCAGGGATGAAATTATCTCGTACGCAATTTTCCCGAACGCAAAATCCAGGAAGGCAATTATCTGGTACGCAATTGTCTGGTACGTAATTGCCCGGAACGCAAATGTCCAGGAACACAATTTTCTGGTACGTAATTGTCTGGGACACAGAGGTCAGGAGAAAATTATCTCGTACGCAACAGTTCGGGACACAAAAGATTGTCTGGTACGTAATTGTCCGGGACGCCAATAGCCAGGAACGCAATCATCTGGTACACAATTGTCTGGTACGTAATTGCCCGGAACGCAAATGTCCAGGAACACAATTTTCTGGTACGTAATTGTCTGGGACACAGAGGTCCAGGGAGAAAATTATCTCGTACGCAACAGTTCGGGACACAAAAGATTGTCTGGTACGTAATTGTCCGGGACGCCAATAGCCAGGAACGCAATCATCTGGTACGCAATTGTCTGGTACGTAATTGCCCGGGACGCAAATGTCCAAGGTCGTAATTATCTTTTGCGCAATTGCCTAGAACTCAAAAATCCAGGAACGCAACTGTCCGGGTCCAATTGTCCGCGATGCAAATGTCCAGTAACGCAACTGTATGTTCACCGAATTGGAGACTGCAGAATCAAAGCACTACAAAAATTTAAATATCGAGAAAATCTTTTAAAAAAAGACGGAAAATGTAACACCGAAATCCAAACACGCATTGGAATAGCGAAAGGTGCCTGCTGAAAAACTAAGTAAAGTATTAAGAAACAGGAAAATTTCGTTAGATACAAAGGAAAGAGTAGTTGAGTTTTATGTAATATCACTTCTTTTATATGTCAGTGAATGCTGGACAATCTCATAAGAGATGTTGTGGAGGCTTGAAGCAGCAGGTATGTGGTTCTACAGAAGGTTTCTGAGAATACGAGGGACATAACATGCTAGTAACGACAACATTTTAGAGAAAATAGAAAGATAAAAGTCACTTATATATCGAATCAGAAAAAGATCGTTGAAATAGCTAGGGCACATAATGAGGAAAGAGGGCTTAGAAAATTTAATACCCACAGGATACATTATAGGCAAGATGAACAGAAGAAAGCAGAATATAACCTACTTAACGAGCTTGTGTATATGAGTGATGGTAAAAAAATAGTAAGAGCTACAAGGGACAGAAAGTTGGGTTAACCATGATCGGCCACGCCCTGAAAGGACTCAATACATAGAAGAAGAAGAAGAAGAAAAAGAAGAAGAAAGAAAGAAAGAGAAGAAGAAAAAAGAAGAAGAAAGAGAAGAAGAAAGAGGAGAAGGGGAAGAAGAAGAAAGAAAGAAAGAAAGAAAGAAAGAAAGAAAGAAAGAAAGAAAGAAAAAAAAGAAGACGAAGAAGAAAGAGGAGAAAAAAGAAGAAGAAGAAGAAAGAGAAGAAAAAGAAAGAAAGAAGAAGAAGAAAGAAAGAAAGAAAGAAAGAAAGAAGAAGAAGAAGAAGAAGAAAGAAAGAGGAGGAGAAGAAGAAGAAAGAAGAAGAAGAAAGAGGACAAAAAAGAAGAAAAAAGAAGAAAAAAGAGAAAGAAGAAGAAGAAGAAGAAGAAGAAGAAGAAGAAAGAGAAGAAGAAGAAGAAGAAGACTTCATGGCAGTAACCTTCTTCTTAAAGCATTTCACTCAGGCAAGGCAATAAAGTCACTATGACGCAATGACCGGGTGTGAAAGAATATGAAAAAAAAAAAAACATTATTAAGGAGAGACAACAATACAAAAGACTGATATTGCATGTCTTCTTCTTTCTCTATTTTTGAGATCAAGACTCTCCACAACTTCCTATTGCTTGCAGCTCCGATTAACGCTTGTTTTTCAACATCCCTCCCATCCATGTTTCACATTAACTGGTGAGCGATAACAAGGAACTTGACAAGTTATTTTCCTGTAAAAGCGTTTTAAGAGAAACATTTAATAACCTTCAACGATTTTTATTTGCTATTTTATTATTTTCATTTTTCTAATAATCTGCACAAAACTGAAAAAAAAAATATATTAATCAAATAATTCACGGTATTCATTTGTTATTTTTCCCCTGTGCAACTTTCCTACATATAATTTGTCACTGACATTGCGTGATTATAAACAGTCATTAACTTTTAAAAAATCTTTATCTAGAGCTCTGAGATGAGGTATTATGATTACTTGCATTATTTAAATTATTCGGACTATTATCCTTATCTTCATTGCCATATTAACAACGTTTCGGCCGATGTACGCCACGACGTTCTTCAGGTGATTGAATCTCTGAAATGAGGTATTATGATTACTTGCATTATTTAAATTATTCGGACTATTATCCTTATCTTCATTGTCATATTCACAACGTTTCGTCCGATGTACGCTACGACCTTCTTCAGGTGATTGGACCTCTGCAATAAGGTATTATGATTACTTGCATTATTTACATTATTCGGGCTGTTATCCTCGTCTTCATTGCCATATTCACAACGTTTCGGCCGTTGTACGATACGGCCTTATTCAGGTGACTGAATTTCTGTTGATGAGGTATTATGATTCCTTGCATTATTTACATTATTCAGACTATAATCCTCATCTTCATTGCCATATTCACAATGTTTCGGCCGATGTACGCTACGGCCTTCTTCAGGATCTCTGAGATAAGGTATTATGATTACTTGCATTATTTACATTATTCGGACTATTATCCTCATTTTCATTACCCTATTCACAACGTTTCAGACGTTGTACGCTCCGGCCTTTTTTAGTGATAGGAATTTCAAACCGTACCCTTTATTTCGTCCAGCGGGGTATATTGTTCTAGTTCCACGTGCTATGCCTCTTCCAGGCGTCTCAGTTGTTTCCTTTTTAACTCAACTCACCAAAGTTTTGGTTCATCACTGCTGTGACGAACCAAAACTTTGGTGAGAACTCACAACTCTTTGGGTCGAGTCACTGCATGAAACCAACGTCTTTATCCGAATAATGCAAGTAAAGAAAACGTTATCTTGAATATTTTAAGCGCAGAAGGACGTGTACCTGTAGATTATGCAATATGTTCGATAAATTGCGCCACAAAGATTTATTGGAACTGATCAGCAACCTTGACATATTTGGGAAGGATATTAGAATAATCAAGGAACTATACTGGGAGAAAACTGTCTACATACGGAAAGAAAATGAGCCCAGCAGATATAAAAACATAGAAAGGGATGTAAGACAAGGATGGGTCTTCTTACCGGACTTATTCAATCTACACACTGAGGCGATTCTGAAGGAAGTAGAAGTCCTGCCAGGATTCATTATTGGTGGCCACAATCATAATATCATAAGATGCCGATGCCGCAGTGTTGACAGCAGACACAGAAATTAAGTTACAAAACTCCTACAGGAGGTAGTGAGGGAAAGCGAGAAGAAAGATTTAAACATCAGTTGCAGAGAGCTATGGATGTCTACGCCCTGAGGGAACTCGACACACGAACTGTACTAAATAACAAAACATCACTTGAAGACATTCGACAGACGCTAGAACTAAAATAAAACTAGAAAAGGAAAGAAAATATTAACGTTCCACACTACCCTAAACAAAAGATTAGAAAGGAAATCCCTATCAATATTAGAAAGAGCGATAACTCTATTTTCCTGAAATCCTTTCTCTCTCGCCTCTTTCTCATGTCTCTTTATCCCTTTTCATCTTTTTCTATTGTCTTTCTCCCTAGCTTCTCTCTCTTTATCTTCTTTTCTTTGTTTTTACAATATGGCCGCTTACGATCTAACGAAGTGATGAATAGAGACAAATTGTTTTAACCATTTCCCGCCTTCCTACTGTCAAGCTGACCTTCTTTGTCAAAACGATATTTGTAACATCCTGTAGATGTCTCCTTAACAAGATATCAGCTGACAACTGAAAAGAAAAAATATCACTTGAAGACTGTCAACATCTGCAACTAAAATGGATAGAACATGTAACTAGAAAAGAAAATAATGACGCAATTAAGATATTGACTTTCAACACTACCTTAAGCAAAATTAGCTCAGCAGATATTAAAAGATAGAAAGGAGTGTAAGACAAGGCTGTGTCTTCTCACCGGACTTATTCAATCTACACAACAAAGCGATTCTGAGAGAATTATAAGTCTTACCAGGATTCATTATTGGTGGCCACAATCATAACAAACTAAGATATCACACATTATGAAATGGACAAAGTCCGACAATTATTTTAAGACATTTTTATGTTTATACATTCTTTTTATAGATACAAATATTTAAGTAAATGCCGACAAGATTTTTATTACTAGTAATACTTTTTCCAAAAATGTATTACTGGTAATATTTTTTTCCTTCAAAAATGTATTGCTGGAAATATTTTTCCTTCAAAAATGTATTACCGGTAATATTTTTTCCTTCAAAAACGTGTTGCAGGTAGTATTTTTTCCTTCAAAAATATATTGCTGGTAATATTTTTTCCTTCAAAAATGTATTACTGGTAATATTTTTTCCTTCAAAAATGTATTGCAGGTAATATTTTTTCCTTCAAAAATTTATTGCTGGTAATATTTTTTCCTTCAAAAATGTATTGCTGGTAATATTTTTTTCCTTCAAAAATGTATAACGCTTACTATTTTTTCTTCAAAAATGTATTGCTAGTAATATTTATTCCTTCAAAAATGTATAACTGCTAATATTTGTTCCTTCAAAAATGTATAACTGGTAATATTTTTTTCATTTAAAAATGTATTACTGGTAATATTTTTTTCCTTCAAAGATGTATAACTGCTAATATTTGTTCCTTCAAAAATGTATTGCTGGTAATATTTTTTTCCTTTAAAAATGTATTGCTGGTTATAATTTGTCATCAAAGATTTTATTGCTGGTATTAAAACATATTTTACATTTTCACAGTGTTTTGATCCCAGTTTAGGGGTTAACTATTTGCCCATAGCCGGGACCCTAACAGGTGCTACCACAAAACCTCCTAAACAGATGCCTTACTGCTGGCTGTAATTAATCGCATTACCCAGGACACATTACAAATGTCTCTTTTAAATATTATTGTTTTCATAAAGTAATTATTTAAAGTAATTACGTCTAGTATTCTATTTTATTTTTATTTTTCTTCTTCCTTTTTTTCGTTTTCTATTTTCTTTTCTTTTACATTTCTTTTTTTTTTTTTTTCGCCTTATTTGGTTCGCTTTCTTCATCTCATATTTAAATGAGTTTTTTTCCTGCCTTTTTCCTCCGTCTTTCCGTCTAACTTCTTCTCTCTTTATCTTCTCTATATTTATACGGTGAAATAACGTCTGAAATATCGTCTATGACGAGATTCTATTTTGTACCAATATGGCCGCTTCTTATCCAACAAACAACTGCGCGGATGACCGTCTACGAAAAAGAGAACAAGTAAGAATTCAATATCTGTCTATAGCTCTAGGATAAGGTATTATGATTACTTGCATTATTTACATTATTCGGACTATTATCCTCATCTTCGTTGGACTGGTGATTGGATCTCTGAGATTCAAATGTTATGATTACTTGCATTATTTACATTATTCAGAATATTACCCTCATCTTCATTGCCATATTCACAACGTTTCGACCATTGTACACTCCGGCCTTCTTCAGGTGATTGGATCTCTGAGATGAGGGAATTATGATTACTTGCATTATTTACATTATTCAGAATATTTGCTCATCTTCATTGCCATATTCATTACGTTTCGACCATTGTACAAAATGTATTACTGGCCTTCTTCAGGTGATGGGATCTCTGAGATGAGGTATTATGATTACTTGCATTATTTACATTATTCAGAATATTATAACCTCATCTTCATTGCCATATTCACAACGTTTCGACCATTGTAACCTCCGGCCTTCTTCAAAATGATTGGATCTCTGAGATGAGGTATTATGATTACTTGCATTATTTACATTATTCAAATATTACCCTCATCTTCATTGCCATATTCACAACGTTTCGACCATTGTACCTCCGGCATTGATTGGATCTCTGAGATGAGGTATTATGATTACTTGCGTATTTACATTATTCAGAATATTACCCCTATCTTCATTTGCCATATTCCTAACGTTTCGACCATTGTACCTCCGGCCTTCTTCAGGTGATTATCTCTGCAAATTATGAGTATTATGATTATTTTATTTTTCTTATTCACCCTCATCTTCATTGCCATATTCACAACGTTTCGACCATTGTACCTCCTTTTTCTCCTTCTTCAGGTGATTGGATCTCTGAGATGAGGTATTATGATTACTTGCATTATTTACATTATTCAGAATATTACCCTCATCTTCATTGCCATATTCACAACGTTTCGACCATTGTACATCCGGCCTTCTTCAGGTGATGGTATCTCTGAGATGAGGTATTATGATTACTTGCATTATTTACATTATTCAGAATATTACCCTCATCTTCATTGCCATATTCACAACGTTTCGACCATTGTACACTCCGGCCTTCTTCAGGTGATTGGATCTCTGAGATGAGGTATTATGATTACTTGCATTATTTACATTATTCAGAATATTACCTCATCTTCATTGCCATATTCACAACGTTTCGACCATTGTACCTCCGGCCTTCTTCAGGTGATTGGATCTCTGAGATGAGGTATTATGATTACTTGCATTATTTACATTATTCAGAATATTACCCTCATCTTCATTGCCATATTCACAACGTTTCGACCATTGTACCTCCGGCCTTCTTCAGGTGATTGGATCTCTGAGATGAGGTATTATGATTACTTGCATTGTTTTTCATTATTCAGAATATTACCTCATCTTCATTGCCATATTCACAACGTTTCGACCATTGTACCTCCGGCCTTCTTCAGGTGATGGGATCTCTGAGATGAGGTATTATGATTACTTGCATTATTTACATTATTCAGAATATTACCCTCATCTTCATTGCCATATTCACAACGTTTCGACCATTGTACACTCCGGCCTTCTTCAGGTGATGGGATCTCTGAGATGAGGTATTATGATTACTTGCATTATTTACATTATTCAGAATATTACCCTCATCTTCATTGCCATATTCACAACGTTTCGACCATTGTACACTCCGGCCTTCTTCAGGTGATGGGATCTCTGAGATGAGGTATTATGATTACTTGCATTATTTACATTATTCAGAATATTACCCTCATCTTCATTGCCATATTCACAACGTTTCGACCATTGTACCTCGGCCTTCTTCAGGTGATTGGATCTCTGAGATGAGGTATTATGATTACTTGCATTATTTACATTATTCAGAATATTACCCTCATCTTCATTGCCATATTCACAACGTTTTCGACCATTGTACCTCCGGCCTTCTTCAGGTGATTGGATCTCTGAGATGAGGTATTATGATTACTTGCATTATTTACATTATTCAGAATATTACCCTCATCTTCATTGCCATATTCACAACGTTTCGACCATTGTACCTCCGGCCTTCTTCAGGTGATTGGATCTCTGAGATGAGGTATTATGATTACTTGCATTATTTACATTATTCAGAATATTACCCTCATCTTCATTGCCATATTCACAACGTTTCGACCATTGTACCTCCGGCCTTCTTCAGGTGATTGGATCTCTGAGATGAGGTATTATGATTACTTGCATTATTTACATTATTCAGAATATTACCCCCTCATCTTCATTGCCATATTCACAACGTTTCGACCATTGTACACTCCGGCCTTCTTCAGGTGATTGGATCTCTGAGATGAGGTATTATGATTACTTGCATTATTTACATTATTCAGAATATTACCCTCATCTTAATTTTATTCACAACGTTTCGACCATTGTACCTCCGGCCTTCTTCAGGTGATTGGATCTCTGAGATGAGGTATTATGATTACTTGCATTATTTACATTATTCAGAATATTACCCTCATCTTCATTGCCATATTCACAACGTTTCGACCATTGTACACTCCGGCCTTCTTCAGGTGATGGTATCTCTGAGATGAGGTATTATGATTACTTGCATTATTTACATTATTCAGAATATTACCCTCATCTTCATTGCCATATTCACAACGTTTCGACCATTGTACACTCCGGCCTTCTTCAGGTGATTGGATCTCTGAGATGAGGTATTATGATTACTTGCATTATTTACATTATTCAGAATATTACCCTCATCTTCATTGCCATATTCACAACGTTTCGACCATTGTACACTCTCCCTTCTTCAGGTGATTGGATCTCTGAGATGAGGTATTATGATTACTTGCATTATTTACATTATTCAGAATATTACCCTCATCTTCATTGCCATATTCACAACGTTTTCGACCATTGTACACTCCGGCCTTCTTCAGGTGATTGGATCTCTGAGATGAGGTATTATGATTACTTGCATTATTTACATTATTCAGAATATTACCCTCATCTTCATTGCCATATTCACAACGTTTCGACCATTGTACACTCCGGCCTTCTTCAGGTGATTGGATCTCTGAGATGAGGTATTATGATTACTTGCATTATTTACATTATTCAGAATATTACCCTCATCTTCATTGCCATATTCACAACGTTTCGACCATTGTACACTCCGGCCTTCTTCAGGTGATTGGATCTCTGAGATGAGGTATTATGATTACTTGCATTATTTACATTATTCAGAATATTACCCTCATCTTCATTGCCATATTCACAACATTTCGACCATTGTACCTCCGGCCTTCTTCAGGTGATTGGATCTCTGAGATGAGGTATTATGATTACTTGCATTATTT